GCTAACAGAGCGAACAGAAGCTAACAGAGCGAACAGAAGCTAACAGAAGCTAACAGAAGCTAACAGAAACTAACAGAAGCTAACAGAGCTAACAGAAGCTAACAGAGCGAACAGAAGCTAACAGTAGCTAACAGAAGCTAACAGAAACTAACAGAAACTAACAGAGCTAACAGAAGCTAACAGAAACTAACAGAAGCTAACAGAAACTAACAGAAACTAACAGAAACTAACAGAGCAAACAGAAGCTAACAGAGCTAACAGAAGCTAACAGAGCTAACAGAAGCTAACAGAGCTAACAGAAGCTAACAGAGCTAACAGAAGCTAACAGAGCAAACAGAAACTAACTGACAGAACAGGGAACGCAGCTGATTTGTCAACAACATGCGCCCATTATCGGACAGCGGTCGACCTTTCTGGTATTTATTTTGAACATTCTGATCTAAGATTATTCACATGACAATCCAACTCTGTCAGTTCCACCAATTAAACATCACATCAATCAACCTTTATTTATACAGGTAAATCCCATTGAGCCTCGAGGACTCATTTACAAGAGAGACCTGATTTCAACAAAGAAAGATGACAACAATGGACAACAGCAACAACAATAAGCAGTTATAAAAACTCATACTACAGTTTTTTTTTTTTTTTTTAACAAATAGGATGGCTAAAAGGAAAAAGGTAACAAAACCAAAAAAAAAAAAAACTGCTAGATTCCGAGACAAATGTATAAAACTAAAAACATCACCACTCCACGCGTTTTAAATTTAAACTTAACTGAATTTTCTAAAGTTGACAAGAGGCGGAAGTTTAAACACCAACACGGCAATCTACTCAAAGTTTAAAGCAGCAACATCCGATTAAAATCGTCACCGCACACTGACCCTGTTTATATCTTTGGACCCTGCTCCTATGGACTTTTTTTGAGGGGGGGGGGGGGGTTGCTTCTTTAAAAAAAAAAAAAACTTGACATCAGCAGAAAAACGGTTCCAGGAAGTTGGTCAATCAGAGGCTAAGCAGAACCTGGGTCAAGTGTCCGATAAAGGGATTACCCGGTCCATTTTGACGTTTAACTCGTTATGACGCGCGCGTTATGACCCGGGCGAGGGTTTTAACAGCAACAACCACTTCTTGATTCAAAGACCAGAAAAAGAAGTAGACACGAAGCTCTGTCCGATAATTAAAACACCAACACAGCAATATACTCGCGTCATTAAAAAAACAAAACAACTTTAATGTTTCTGAAAGCTCCAGCACCAAGACGTGTCTCTGATCGAACGGAAACATTTAGCACGGGTACGGGTCCAGTCCGAACTCACCGTGTGGGACTGCAGGTTCTGGCTGGCTTCGATCACCGCCGTCAGCGGCACCGTGTCGTCCAGCAGCAGCCTGCCGGGGACCGGCGGCTTCTCCAGGAAGGACATCCCCGACGACAGACGCTGGAAACCCGTCAGGTTGTCACCGACACCGAGGACAGAACCCGGGACTGGAACCACACTGGAGCTCGAACAGAATCAGAACCGACTTGCTAAACTGTTAGCACGAAACCTGGAAGCGCAGATTTATCAATAATCAGGTGTAAGGAAGTCACGTGACGAGGCGTCAGCGCCCCCTGTTGGTGCGGAGGAGAAACAGCTGAGCAGAGATAAACAGGTGAGTCCTGGTAAATAAATAAATAAACTGTTGTATTTAAAACAACTATTCATCTGCAATATCTTCCAGCTGAGCTGTTTGAGCTCACTTTGTTCTGTTGTCATCTCTGCCTTTCATTATATTTATGCTGACATTTTAATTTACAAAGAATTCAGTAACTGCAGTTTTCTGAAATTAATTTTATTTACACTTTTTACACATCATGAAACAATGAACACAGTGTAAGGTGTTGGGTGACTGCAAGAGCTATCATAAAGATTACATTTTAAAATCTTTATTTAAAATGTCAAAGTGTAATTCTTTGGTAAAATACAAAAAAAAACCTTTATTCAAATGCTTTCAGAGTTAAGATGAACAAAGAAGGTATTTAGGAATACAGTGGTTATATTTGTTGCTCTCGATGTAATATCTGTGTGTGTGTGTTGGTGGGGGTTGTAAAAAATATACCAGAAGGAGCTTCAGGTTGTCAAAACTTGACATTTTCTAATTATTTTATGATAATTAGTGTAAAATTAAATTTAGAGTAAACCTGATGTGGTACAAAGTTCCAGACTGAGGTAAGACTTTTGCAAAACTTAAAATTTATCAAACAAATTAATTCAATTTACTCGTTTTTCCATGGAAAAAAGACAAGAATGTTCAGAACCAGCACCTTCATTTATTTGTGACTAATTCTGCTGTAAATTTGCTGCTGTTTCAATTTTCTTGCTGAGACTTTAATCTGAGGCCTGTAGTCTGAGCACTGCACAGTCTGACCTTCAGGGTGAATTTGTTATGAATATTGGCGGTCTAAATGTTAAATGTTTTCTACTTGTGAATAATTGTTCTCTCTGGAACGATGGACTCCAAATGACCTTTGTCTCTTCAGACTGATGGGCTGCAACATCATTGCTGATGTCTTTCCACCTTGGCGTTGTGTTGACACACCTATGTGCTTCAGGCTGAAACCAGTTTTTTCATTAAGTTTTTTAGAAACTTTAGTTTGAAAAAAAATCTATATTTAAAGTATATGAATTTAAGAATACACAAATAAAATTTGGTTAAAGTTCTTTATTAAAAAAAGAAAATCTGTTTCAAACATAAATAAATCATCTTTGCCTTCATCTCCTCCTCTCACTCCTGCCGCTCCACAGGCGTCATCACCACCACCTCCCCCTCCATCACCACTTTGTCCTTCACGGTGCACGTCACGGCGATGAAGACGAACGACATCTTGATTTTACGCACTTCGGCCTCAGCCAGCACCTCCTCTCCGACGTGCAGCGGCGCCGGGAAGCGGATCTCCTGGTACAGGAAGACGCAGCCGGGCCCGGGCATCTTGGTGCCGAGCACGGCCGAGATCAGTCCGTTGATGAGGACGCCGTGCACGATGGGCGTCTCGAAGGACGTGGCGCTGGCGTAGAGCGGGTCCAGGTGGAGAGGGTTGGTGTCACCCGTCAGAGAGGCGAACAGCTCCACGTCGCGGCGGGAGAAGGCTTTGGTCAGGGAGGCCCGCTGGCCGACGTGGAGCAGCCGACTGAGGGGAGGAGCTGCGGCGAGCGAGGAGAACCTCCTCCAAACGAAAGTCATGGCGAAGGAAAAGAGGCGCCTCCTCCTGCGTCAGTCCAGCTGCAGATCCCGGCTGTTTCCTGTCAGCGCCAGGAGGTACGGAGACACCTGAAGGCAACACGAGAGTAGAACCGTTTTCACAAAACGCACTGATAAAAATAAATAAATAAATAAATAAATAATCCTGCAGGAACATTCCCGATCCAAACCGAACCAATATTCAAGATCAACAAAAGTGTTTTTTTTATCTATCCAACGCTTTAAACTTTAAATCTTCTTAACTGTCTTAAAGTTCATGTTTAACTCAAAATATAATTTGGTACAATAATGTCGCAAAGCCTTTTTTATTCCAGCACTCTGACTGTTGTGTATTCACACACATTAGTATTTCTATCCTTATTAGGACCGTGTATTGACTTCCATTTATTTCCCGACCCAGACCCCGACCCTAAACCTGACCCGAACACAACGTTCCACCATATTAGGACTGGTCTTTGGTCCCAACAAGTTCTACTGGTCCCGACTAGGTAACTGCTCAGACCAGAAAAAGGTAACACCAACCAGGTGTGTACACACACGCACACACACAATTACCTTCTATTCGTGGCAGTGGGTGATAAAGATGAATATTTCATGTTTTCATCATAAAAATTAAAATTGGTGAACTTAAATAAAATAAATTCCCTTAAAGAATGAATTCAGGTGGACCTGCTGACCTGCAGGACTCTGAAGGCGCAGGCCTGGTTCTGGTAGAAACCCTGCAGGGTCAGGGAGCTCCACAGCTTCACTAAACCCCTGAATAAAACAAAACAAACACGTTAAAAACGACTTCATCTCGGTCTCTTGCAGTTTCTCTCCATCCTCGAGCTCACCTGCTGAAAACACGAAGAAGAGCCGTCAGGGAGTCTTCGTCAAACTTCAACACGTCAAAGTTCAACGCCGCTCCCACCTGAAGCGCGTTCAAACGAAACCATTTCAGGAGCACAGAAAATTGACTTTAAGCCGTTTCATGAGACAGGACAGGTTTGAAAGCTGATCGAACCGTTCGGGCTTCGTATGTGGATGACCTCACCTCTCCGTGCAGACGCCTCAGGCCAGCGATGATGAAACTCTTCAGCTCGACCGCGCTCAGTCTGGTCCGCTCATCCTCCAGAACGCTGACAGACACACACGTTCAAAACTTACTCATGTTTCAGTTCCATAAGATTCACGCAAATCATTGGTGCAACATTTCTTTCTTACAGGCGGACTTTCATGTACTGGTACGGTGAAGCGTTCTTTAGCACGACGCGCTGGAAACCAGAAGCTTCTGCCTCCTTTTCGACGGATGTCATTCTAACTAAACATGAGCAACTCGTTGAGGAGCAGCAGGTCGATCAGCTGACTGCAGACAGGAGACAAACCACCATTAAATACAGCCCAACAAGTGTTTGTCAGGTTTGTCACTGAGGGAGAAACAATGTGATCACTCAGTTAAGGACTCTCTGCTTTTTTGCAGTCTTGCTGGGACAGTTTGGGTCCGTGCCCTGTTGGAAGACCCATCCATAACCTCTCCTAGATGCAGAATCAATGATAAATTTCAATAAAAAATATTATTTTCCTGGGTTTTGTTTACTGTATTTGCAAGCAGGCACAAGGCTTCCCTCGTGCACCCGCAGGTCCAAGTCGAATGATGGTACAGTGGTTTGAACAGTCGCATCACAGCGAGGTCAAAGGTTCGACTCCCAGCATGAAGCCTTTGTGTGGTTACATTTTCTCTGGTTTTCCTCCCAGACCAAAGAACATCCATTTTATGTTAATTGGAAACTGTAAATTCTTAATAAGTGAAAGGAAGGGATTCTTTGTAAACTAAACCACTCAGAATGACTTCTACATCTCATGAAACAAATCGTTTATTTCTTTTTAGCCTTTTAAGCTAGTGAAGCTGGTTTAAATGAGGTTAAAATTGTAAATGGTTGACCCGGAAACTGATCAGCTGTCACTCAAACATCCTGAAGAACATTAAACATCGGATTCATAATGTCTTAACTCTCAAAAAAGTGTTTAACTCACTAGTTAATCAAGTTTAACAGCGAACAGCGGCGTGCTTTCAGCTTCTTAACCTACCATGAAAAATCCTACTCTGCGCATGCGTCAACCCAAGATGAATAAAATGAACCAAGAGGATTCCCTGTCAAAAATCGCATCAAAGCCATTTTTAAAGACACGTGACATTTGTCGATTAAAATCAGCCATTGATCGTTCATCATTTATCACATCTTAGAAACGCAAATAAAATAAAAACTTTGTTAAAAATCTATGATTTCAGCGGTACAGCTTTCCCAGCAGCAGCAGCCAACTGCGGATATTTTCTGAGTCCTCAGAGATTAATGTCACAGCACAGAGCACCACTGATTACACTGGAGGCCAATTTAATAATTTTTACACACTTATAGTAAAGCTAAAAAAATCAACAATTCATAACATTAATAGAAATGCCTTTAATCATAAAAATTAGAGTATTTTTAAACTGTTTACCTTAGCAGGCATACACGCAGCCACCTATCTTCTATTAGTCAAGTCAACTTTATTTTTGGGCACATTTAAAACAAAACAGGGCAGCACGGTGGCGCAGCTGGTAGAGCTGCTGCCTCTCAGCAAGCAGGTCCCTGGTTCAAATCCCAGTCCAGGGGTCTTTCTGGGTGGAGTTTGCATGTTCTCTTCGTGCATGCGTGGGTTTTCTCCGGGTACTCCGGTTTCCTCCCACAGACCAAAAACATGCATGTTAGACTGATTGGTAACTCTGAATTGTCTCTAGGTGAGTCGTTTGTCTCTATGTGTCCCTGTGATGGACTTGTGACCCGTCCAGGGTGTCCCCCGCACCTCGCACAGTGATTGCTGGACATGGGCACCGGCGACCCCCGTGACCCCAAAATGGAAGAGGCGGGTAAAGATAATGGATGGATTTAAAACAGAACCTGTTATCAAAGTGCTTAACAACAACATCAATGGGAGTAAAACTAATGAAAAAACACCATACACTAATAATAATACTGAAGAATTAATAAAAAGCATTTAAAACATAACAAAACAAAAAAACAACACTAAATCAACTCGCACTGTGAAATGCCTGTGAGAACAGATGTGTTTTTAGCATGGATTTGAACTGAGGTGGCCTGCCTGATGTTGGGGGGCAGGTTGTTCCAGAGTTTGGGGCCCAATGACTGAAAAAGCCCGATCTCCTCTGAGCTTCAGTCTTGTTTTAGGAACAGCCAAAAGCAGCTGATCGGCTGATCTCAGGGCCCGAACGTAAGGTTCCAGTAGCTCAGAGAGCAGCAGTTACAGTTCACAATAAAGTGGATTATGTAGTTTTCTGTTTTTATATTTAGTCTAGATTTGTTGAGAGGTTCCGTAAACTACTTGTGATGGATTTCATTGATACCTTTATATGAAAGAATGATTATGCTCTTCAGTAAAATATAAACCAAATCTGTGTCTGAAAATCCAGCCGAGTGCTCAGAGTGATACATTTCTCACTGAGTTTGCTATTTAGAGGCGTGGAATCTAAATTCTACACAGAACTTTGTTTATGTACATCTTGCAGAGGATCTTTATTTTAGCATTTCTGCTTGCTTTTGTTTGTTAGCACTGAACAAAGCCCCCGAAAGTGAATAAAACGTATTTGTTTTCTTGTGGGCAGCACGGTGGTGCAACTGGTAGAGCTGCTGCCTCTCAGCGAGCAGGTCCCTGGTTCAAACCCCGGTCCAGGGGCCTTTCTGGGTGGAGTTTGCATGTTCTCTCCGTGCATGCGTGGGTTTTCTCCAGGTGCTCCAGTTTCCTCCCACAGACCAAAAACATGCATGTTAGGCTGATTGGTAACTCTAAATTGTCCCTAGGTGTGAGTGAGAGAGTGAATGGTTGTTTGTCTCGTTTGTCTCTATGCGTCCCTGTGATGGACTGGAGACCCGTCCAGGGTGTCCCCCGCCCCTCGCACAGTGATTGCTGGACATGGGCACCAGCGACCCCCGTGACCCAAAATGGAATAAGCGGGTAAAGAAAATGGATGGATGGATGGATGGATGTTGAAGTGGCGCCTGGTGTTATGTCAAACTCGGTAACCCCGTTCAAGTGCCTTTAACCAGTCGCTCCGCCCCCTAGAGCGGTGAATGAAGCGCGTGTCTGCTGGAAACTCGCTCCCGACGCTCTGAACTGTGCCACAAAAAAAGTCATGTTTAAGCATTTTTTAAATATTGCATAAAAATGATCTTGTACAATATAATTAAAAAATATATTTATTTTATAGTTGACAGCAATACTCTTCCGTAATATTCAGTATGATCACGCATAAACGTCATTAACTGTTTTTTAATTGTTCATTTTCATTGTTAAAAACAACTTTTGTTACACAAGTTTGAATTCATGGTAGAAATTTTCTAATCCACACAGGGTCAACATAAAATAAACTTTAAATCAAAATTATATTTAAAAAACAGTAACAGAAGTTTAAAAGCATAAATAACATTAACAGAGTTTTATTAAGTTATTTTAACTAAATTTTTTAAGGTAGAATGTTCTAAAAAGGTCTTAACTTACACAAAGGCGTTTGTTTGACAGCACTCGTTCGATTAACAAATACTCAGAAAAACAAACGTACGTCCAAGAAGCTCAAGATACAAGAAGGAAAACGGATCCAGACATCTGTAAACAGCTTCAGGACTTTACATCGTGGGTCCAAACGGTCCCGAGGTACACGTTGTTCTGTGAGTCACCAGTTTGTAGAGTTCAGGAAAAAGACCCCAACTGGTCTCATATGGATGGAAATTTGTTTGGATGTTCAGGAACAACTCCAGAACCACCAAGGTCCAAAAGTGCCATGAAGTGGACCCACCTGGAACACCAGTGTCCCAGTCCACAGTGGAGTTTTACACCACCAGTGTTTTGCATGAACACGTTCTAAAGGACAAGTTTGAGTGACATCCATATTTTTGTGAACTTTACGCTAATTTGTTTTTTTAAGAAGTTGACGTGAAATGGTGACATTTAACACCTTCCTTTTCAAGAAGCTGCTGAAAACAGAGACCTTCAGAACAAACGCGAGTTACTTCAGAGAACAGATTTTTACTCTTTAGGACAAAGTGTCCGCGGTGCACATTCTGCAGGATTAGGCGAACACCAACAGGTACTGGGATCTTTGTGGGGAGCCCTTGTTGATAAAACCCACACTTCACTTTAGATGTTAAAAATCTAAAAACTGAAGGCGTCAGAGTGCCCACGTGGTTCTGCCTGGCTGCACGCATGAACAGAGCTGAAGAACTTTAAAACCATCTATTCTTGTAGCTGTTTCTTTTTTTTTTAATCAAAAGGTTCTGTAAGAGTAGCCGAAATGTTTATAAGTGTGAAGGATCTTGGCTGACACTGTGCTAAATAGAACTGGTATTTTATTTAGCATCAACCAAAACTACCATAAACACGTCTGAAGTGTATTTTGGAACAGGTTTTCAAAAAAAAAAAAAAAAATTCTAAGAAAGAGCTAAAAGTTCCAAGTAACATAAAACTAGAAACACTGCTGTCATGCACAACACATTTACCAGCTAACACTTTGGTTTACCTTCAGTGTGAACTCTTACGTGTCTTTGAGACTCGTTTGTCCTCCCGTATGGTTTTTCATGTGTTTGTCCAGACTTTGCTTACTGCTAAATCTTTGTCCACAATCTGCACAAGCAAACATTTTCTGTCCTGTGTGGATTCTAATGTGTCTGTCTAAACTGGTCCTGTGTCTAAACCTTTGTCCACAGAAATCACAAGCAAAAGGTTTCTGTCCCGTGTGGACTCTTTTGTGTCTTTCTAAAGTTGCCTTAAGTGCAAACTTTTGTCCACAAACCTCACAACCGAATGGTTTCTGTCCCGTGTGGACTCTCATGTGTCGGTTTAAATGTAACTTTCGGGTAAATTGTTGTCCACAAACGTCACAAGCAAAAGATTTCTGTCCAGTGTGGATTCTCATGTGGGCAGTTAAATTTGTCTTTCGGTTTAATTGTTTTCCACAAAAAACACAAACGCACGACTTCTGTCCTGTGTGAACGCTCATGTGTCTGTTTAGGTTTGGCTGCTGGCTAAATGTTTGTCCACAAACATCACAAACAAACGGTTTCTCTCCAGTGTGGATTCTTACGTGTGTGCTTAAATGATGTTTCAAGTTAAATTCTTTCCCACAGTCGTCACATTTAAAAGGTTTCTTCCCTGTGTGGACTTTCATGTGTTTTTCTTGTTTAGTTTTACTGTAAAAAATTTTACCGCAGTTACCACAGCTAAATGATTTTGGTGTTTCCTGAACCTTCTTGTGTGATTCTGCACTTTTCCAGTTTGAAGACCTGACTCCAGGGGCTCTGCTCTCCTTCCAGTCGTCACTGTCTTCAGTTGTTGACCCAGAGTCTGATAAGGGTTTCAGATCAGAGTCAGTGTTGCTTCCTTCATCAATCCCACTGACTACAGTCTCTGAAGAGCTAGAATTGTCTTCATGAGTATTCAAGTCCAGATTCCTGGTGGTTTCTGCTCCTCCACAGTCCTCTCCATCAACTTCTACCTTTATCTGGTCAGCTGAGCTGCTGGTTGGAACACCATCTTCCATTTGGTGATGATGAAGCTCCAACAGAGGCTCCTCTTCATCATCCTCACTCTTTACAGTAACTGCGATGAGGGGAAGCCTGGTGGCATCTGTTTCTTCTTTCACTTGGAGCTGCTCCTCCTCCAGAGCCTCCTTAACGTGGAGGGGCTCTGGGTCCTGCTGGTCCACATCAAGATTCTGTTCTTCAGGAGGATCTACTCTAGTCAGCATCGTCTGCTGAACATCTGCAGGGAGCACTGAAACACATGAACAATATGAACTACTGTAACGTTCTATAAAAAACCAACAACAATAAACTGTAAAACATCTAAAGAAAGGGTTTTAATCTTCGTTCAGATGAGATTACCATCTCACTGGAGATGAAAGTTCCAGATTTGTCACCACAACAAAGAGGAGGTGTTTGAATGTCCTCTTAATCCAGGGGTCTATGTTGTTGATCTGTTTGCTCCTGGTAACATTAGGGTCTGCGTGAGAGGGATTCATTTCATTCATTCAACCTTCATTTATCCAGGTTAGACTCACTGAGCTTCGAGGACTCATTTACAAGAGAGACCTGTTCTGTTTACAATGAGCTTGGAGGCAGAGCGCTACAAAAAAACAGGTCATCTCACCCAGAACAGGGAAGCAGGGGCAACTTCTCGGTACGTGGAGGCGGGGCTCTAGGTCTGTTGATGTCTGCTGTTACCGACTCTGGATCAGAGGAACATCAGCTTACAGATGGATTAGGAGCTGGAGCTCATGATATTTATTATTAATTAGTTATTGTAAAGTGTTTCCCTGTGAATCACTGGTGCAGCCGTTAAAAGGGTTTTGACTCGCCGTTGACAGAGTCCCAGACTCAGTTTCTTTCATATATTTACATTTATTTATCTTGGGCATTATTAAGCAAGTCCATACATGCATGCGTTCGTTCAAAAAACTATACGCCTTCTGGGCTACACATCAGCCCCAAACACAAATTTCAGATAATTAACATGAACCACCCACAAACAGGTGCATTCAACAAACAATGGAATCAACTTTACAGTTATTATTACTGTCCATAACAAACACCTCATTTGAGGGGGGGGGGGGGTGTACCAGGTCTCTGAAAGCCAAAGGTCAATGATTAACCTTTGTAATCTTATCACAGATCTGTCAGGAGAAAGGTAGAGCTGCCAACAGATCTCTTCATGGTGGTGAACTGGACCTGGTGGCAGGAGAAACTGCCGGACAGACCCAGTAAATCCAAACAACTAGTTGGGGCAAACGTGAATTTCTGATAGAAGTCCCTGTCATCGTTGTCTTCATTTCACAACTCAGAGACTTTTATTTATTTATTTTTACACGTTCTGTGGGAAGTTGGGAACACGGAATCCTAATGGGCCAAGGTCTTTATTACAAACACATCAAAAGTCAAAGTTTCTTTACTGGTCATACACACCACCTGTGGTGCATGTGGTGGAACGATCATCTTCCAGGAGCTGTGATCGAGGGTCAGTGGTGCCGATCGATCAGATTTCTAAAATAACTGGAAAGAACAAGCTCTTTTACGACTGGTAGCCAGTGGTTTAAAGGCAAAGTTTATAACCAAACTTGGAAAACGCTGCTGCAAGATTATCAGTAATCCAAGACACGGTAAATAAAAAAGGTTAAAAAAAAGAAGGACTTTTATTCTGTAGCTGAAAAGCTACTGAGTTAAGAGTTTGAAGCGACAGATGCCGGCAGGGATGACCTGAGGTAAAAGATCTTCTTACTTAATTTACAACTCTGGCATCACGACGGCTCAGTGGTTAGCACTGTTGCCTCACAGCAAGAAGGTCGTGGGTTCAATCCCCGGTTGGACCTGGGGTCTTTCTGTGTGGAGTTTGCATGTTCTTCTCGTGCTTGCGTGGGTTTTCTCCATGTACTCCGGTTTCCTCCCACAAAACAAAAACATGGTGTTAGTCCGCCTTCAGGCCTCCCTTGCAAAAGAGTCCTGTGATCTCAATGGGATTTGCCTGGTTAAATAAAGGTTAATAAATAAGAACAAGTGAAGCTACCCCTCCACTTTTATCAGTGGTCCGGGTCGAGCTGACAAACGAATAACCAGGAGAAGTTCGAGAAACAGGACGCACCAGATCACAGCAAAGTCTCAGTCAAGAACAGAAAAATCCAACTTGGAGAAAGTAAAGAAGCCATTAAAAATTATACTCTTGTTAGCCAGTGAAAAACAATGTTCAGCAATTCATAACATTAATAGCAATACGTTTGACAGATCCTAAAACAATATCGAGATTTTTTTCAAAACTATTTACCCGTTTTTTTGATCAGGCATAGACGCAGCCACCTATCATCTCATCACGCAGAAATCGGTGCTAACAAGCTTTAAAATAACTGCTATTATTTTTGTGTTTATAGTTGTTAACTTAAAATAAGTAAATCCACAACTTTACATGTTTAGTTTATCAAAGGCAGATAAAAAGAGGCTGTAATCATCTCGCTCTTTCATCAATTAGTGTGCTAACTAAACAAGTCGCTACACTAAGCTAAACGCTATTAGCTACCTAAAAAAAAAAAATCATACTCGACGGAAAAACACAAAAATATACAAACCTAATGTTTGCAGTTGATCGCCGGGGTTAAAAACAGCTTCGTTTGGTTTTGTATTTCTGCCGGTTATCTTATTAAACGTGATCGCTTCTGCTTCTTAAATGTCTGTTCTTCCAAACAAGTTTTCCACTACGTAAAATCTTCTTACGTAACTTACAATGAAAGTAGAGCGTACTACGCAAAAAGCGTATACAAATTATTTGGCTATCATTCAACCTTTATTTCTACAGGTAAATCCCATTGAGCCTCGAGGACTCATTTACAAGAGAGACCTGATTTCAACAAAGAAAGATGACAACAATGGACAACAGCAACAACAATAAGCAGTTATAAAAACTCATACTACAGTTTTTTTTTTTTTTTTTTTTTTTTTTAACAAATAGGATGGCTAAAAGGAAAAAGGTAACAAAACCAAAAAAACTGCTAGATTCCGAGACAAATGTATAAAACTAAAAACAGGAACATGTCTGCATTGGTCCCTGCCAGGAGTCCAACAGATTCTTAAAGCCACTTAGAGAGGTCAAGGTCGAGAGCTTCAAATCTTTTTGTAAGATATTCCAGGAAACAGGAGCGGAGTAGGAGAAGGCCCTTTTGCCTAGTTCAGTCCTCACTGAGGGAACACTGCAGGTAATGATGTCCTGAGAGCGCACTCCGTAGCTGCACTCACGCAGAGACATGTAGGAGGAGATGTATGAAGGCAGCAGACCAAGAAGTGATTTAAAGATGAAAATGTACCAGTGAGAGAGTCTGCGTGAAGTTAATGATGTCCAGTTAACCAGTGAATACTGGGTGCAGTGGTGGGTACGATAATCACAGCCAGTTATGAATCTTAGTGCACCATGATAGACAGCATCCAACATCTGCAGGGTTCTTGTAGGAGCGTTCATGTAAATAATATCACCAAAATCAATTGAGGGAAGGAAAGTCACAGATACAATGTGTTTTCTAGCATTCAGGGTTAGACAGGATCTGTTTCTGAAAAAGAAACCCAGTTTAATTTTCAGTTTCTTTACCAAGTTTTCCACATGGAGCTTAAAAGAAAGATGTGAGTCGACCAAGATACCCAAATATTTATAGGAATCAACAAACTCAATGGGGACACCATTTGAGGATAAAATCGGAGGAAGAACTGCTGGGACCAACTTCCTATTTGAAAAAAGCATCCCTTTGGTTTTTTCGGCATTTAGGACAAGTTTGAGGTGAAACAAATCAGTCTGGATGTAGTTAAATGCAGATTTCAGAAGCTGGAAAGCCTTAGCAACTGTTTTAGCTCGACAATAAACAACTGTGTCATCAGCATAGAAATGTATGGATGCATTAGGGATGTTTTTACCTACATTATGTATGTAGATTGTAAAGAGGGTGGGTCCTAAGACTGAGCCTTGTGGAACACCATTGTTGACTGTTAAATAACTGGAGGAAGTACCATTATGTTGAACACATTGCCTCCGGTCTGAAAGATAGTTAGAGAACCAACCAATGGTGTGATCTAAGGTGTGTATAAGGTGCTAAGGTGTGTGTATATATATATATATATATATATATATATATATATATTCCACATTGTTATAGTTATTACTTTAGCAAATATTCAGTTATGTGTACAATAAACCGTATTAACCACTAAAATAATAGGTTTCTTCAGTTTAACAGAATATTAACCTGCATTAAAGTCCAATGGTGACTGTTTTTTGTTATAATGGAGGAACAAGAAAATCGGTTGAATTAATATTTTTAAACTGCTCCCTTACATGAATTAAAGCTGAAAAAATCAGAAAAAAAAAAACTGAATTTTCTATCTAGAAGTTACCCCCCCCCCCCCCACACACACACACAGTTTGTTTTCTTGCATACAGGGTACAGATCAATTCTCAAAGTTTTTCATGTAAACAGGATCACATATAGTGCACATGACTTCAGTAAAAGTAACTTTCACCTTAGTAAAAGTACGCAGTAGACCTACAGTGTCTCTAATGAAGCTCCATCAAGTCCAACATCATCATGAAGGAAGTTTGAACAACAGTCTGAATAACTTTTCTCTAGTTTACTTTAAGAGGGCTTGTCATATATATTTTAATAAATTACAGAAAGTTCTTTGCAAAGTATAAATTAATTTAAAAAAATTAATTTGCCAAACTCACAGATTTCTCCCCTAGAACAAATATTTCATTCAAAGGCATTGTATTTACAAGATTTCAGCTCATGTAGTGTTTAATATTTATTTTTCATATTTGATCATTTGTTATATTTATCATAGTAGTTACCTCGAAGTATGTTTCTACATGTACAGTAATCAAGGTAGGCTCATCCAAACAGCCAAAACATCTTGATGTTTTAAACTACTAACAAAGTGTTGGGAACTGTTGACTGTCCACGAATCAGGTGTAATAATAAACATTAAAATAATAAAACTTAATCTTCTCACCCTCTGCGTGTAGATCTGCTCTGGTCAGACCGGTCACCCCTCGAGCCACCAGCAAATCTGGCCTCATTAAAAGTCGGCAATTCCAACCGGAGGACTTTCAGTTAAGGAGATTAAATCTCCCCCGTGCACGGTTCAGATCAAAGCCCGGTGGTTCGAGGTTAGATGTTGGGACCGTCACAAAAGATAAAAAATGTATAAAAATAGCCTCCATTTATCTTACTTACTCAAATAAGCTACACTCGATGACAGGAGATTTTTAACCAGTTTTACTTGCAAAGACAGATGTTCTTTGAGATTGAGACACAGATGTGCTTGTTTTTACACTGTATCAGCCCTCCCAGTTCACAGACTGGTGTCCTTGGACTACCAGCTGTGCCTGCAGTTTCAAATCAGCTGCTCATCCAGCTCTCTCTCTCTCTCTTCGAACTCAAATACATGTACACACCCCTAATGTACATGGTTCATGGGCAGTATTCTTAGCCATAGTACCGGTAGTTAAATTTTTTTTTATAAACCTTGACCAAAATTTCCTAACACGAACCCTGAAGGAAACAGCTGAAAGAAAAAATAACCTTATTTCAGTAGGTAATGAGCCTCATTAAATATTAAACAATATTGTTAAATTGAGTAAGTATATATTTTTTAACAATATGTACCATAGCTCTGTTTAAAATTCAAATACTTTATACTTTAAAAAAAAATTCAAATGATCAACTCAAACCTTAAATATAAAAACTTTCAAAATATGACACATTAAAAAAAAAAAAAGACACTTTAATATAATCAGGTTTCCATCACCATGAGCATAGATACACTGAGTTTATTTTTAACATCTATTTTACCAAGGAGGAATGAATTTACAACTTACACCTTCAATGATTGTCCAAAACAAGAGTTGGGTGCAGAAGTTTGAATTCATTGTTTTTCCTAATACAAAGAATAAAAACTAAATAAATAAATAGACAAACATTCAAATTATTTGACATTTACAAAATAAATAGCTGTGATGAGATTTAAATACTTGAATATCATAACTTTTAGAGTTTTGTGAAGTTATTTTAGGGGGGGTGGTGATCCGAAGATCGCCGGCTCACGCCCCGACAACATCAAAATTGTGGGTGGGGTAGGTGAAGCACCCACACCTGCCTCCACCCTCATTCGCCCCACCTTGGGCCCATGAGCAAGGCCCTTAACCCCCACCATCTGCTCCCTAAAAAGGTCTCTCTTGAAAATGAGTTCTTGTGGCTCAATGACACAAACCTGTACAAATAAAGTGTAAATTAAATTTATTTACCAACATTTCTAAACGGTACAAAGTCCTAACTTTACAAGGCCAATTAAATTCTCGTTAGCGATCATGGTCGATTGCAGCTTCTAGTTTCACTTTTCTAACACACAAAGTTTTGACAGCACTCACTGGATTTGCCAAAACCCAGAACAGGAAAGTTCAAACAGCTCAGTTAAGATCTGTGAAGGAAAACTGCAGATTTAGACAACTATGAACAACTTCAGGCCCTCCCATCATCTGTCCACAGCGAAGACGGTTTTACATCATCACCAGTGCCGAACACATTTTAACAAACCAGTTTACAAGTGTCATCTTTATTTTTGTAAACTACGAACTCCAAATCAGATGGTAGGAAGAGAAGACGTCTCAATCTTCACAGCAACACTGTTTGTCCTCCCGTATGGTTTCTCACGTGTTTGTTCAAACTTTGTTTACGGCTAAATCTTTGTCCACAATCTCCACAAGCAAACATTTTCTGTCCTGTGTGGATTCCAACGTGTCTGTCTAAACTTGTCCTGTGTCTAAATCTTTGTCCACAGAAATCACAAGCAAAAGGTTTCTGTCCTGTGTGGACTCTTACGTGTCTTTTTAAAGTTGTCTTAAGTGCAAACCGTTGTCCACAAACCTCACAACCGAACGGTTTCTGTCCTGTGTGGACTCTCATGTGTCGGTTTAAATGTGTCCTTCGGGTAAATCTTTGTCCACAAATGTCACAAGCAAAAGATTTCTGTCCAGTATGGATTCTCAAGTGCATTGTTAAATTTGTCTTTCGGTTTAACTGTTTTCCACAAAAAACACAAACGCACGACTTCTGTCCTGTGTGAACGCTCATGTGTCTGTTTAGTGTCGTCTGTTGGGTAAACTTCTCTCCACAGACATCACAAATATACGGTTTCTCTCCAGTGTGGATTCTTACATGTGTGCTTAAATGATGCTTTAAGTTAAATCTTTTATCACAAATGTCACATTTAAATGGTTTCTCTCCAGTGTGGACTCTTGTGTGTGTGTTTAAGTTTGCTTTACGGCTAAATTCTTTTCCGCAAACATCACATCCAAACAGTTTCTCTCCTCTGTGACTTTTCATGTGCATTTTAAGTTCACTTTTACTGTTAAAATTTTTACCACAGCTAAATGATTTTGGTGTTTCCTGAACCTTCTTGTGTGATTCTGCACTTTCTTTCACTTCAACACTTTTCTTATGACCCAAACAGTTTGAAGACCTGACTCCTGAATGACAGGTCATGTGTCTCTGAAGAGACCGGTTATGGAGGAACCGTTTACCACAATTAGAGCAGCTGAAACATTTATTGACAGAGATGCCACCTGACTCAGGGGCTCTGCTCTCCTTCCAGTCGTTGTCACTGTCTTCAGTTGTTGACCCAGAGTCTGATAAGGGTTTCAGATCAGAGTCAGTGTTGCTTCCTTCATCATTTTCACTGACTTCAGTTTCTGAAGAGCTGGAATTATCTCCATTAGCATTTAAATCCAGATTCATGGTAGTTCCTGCTCCTCCACAGTCCTCGCCACCAGTTTCTACCTTCAACGGGTCATCTGAGCTGCTGGTTCGAACATCTCTGTTTTCCATTTGGGTTTCATCATCTCTCTTCAGAGAATCAGCAGTGAAGGGAAACCTGGTGGTACCATTTTCCTCCGTCTGATGGATTCCTCTTCCTCCAGACTGGTCCAGAAATCCTCCTGTTCTTCCTTTATGTGGAGGGGCTCTGGGTCCTGCAGGTCCACGTCAAGACTGTTCTTCAGGAAGACCCGCTCTAGTCAGCATCATCTGCTGAACATCTGCAGGGAACACTGCAACACATGAATAATATGAACAACTGTAACTTTATATTTATTATTTTATTTATTATTTATTTGACTGGTACAGGCAAAAGAGAGCACATTACTCCAGTTCTGGCCTCCCTTCACTGGCTCCCAGTTCACTTTTGAATTCATTTTAAAATCCTTCTCTATGTTTTTAAATCTCTGAACAGTTCTGCCCCCTCCTATCTCACTGATCTGCTGCAGCCATATGTCCCACAGCACTCTCTGAGGTCAGCAGACCAGATGCTTTTATTGGTTCCAGGCACTCGTATTAAGCTCAGAGGAGACAGAACCTTCTCTGTTGCAGGTCCAAAACTGTGGACTGAGTTACCACTGCATGTCAGGCAGGCTCCCTCTCTCACTGTTTTAAGTCACTTTAATTCTCTGGCTTTTGACCCTGTGTGAGCTGACGTTAACTTCTTGTGTTCTATAATGTTAGCCATTTAGTTCTTATCTTTACCTCCGTGGATTTATGTATTTTTTTGCTGTTCTTTGTTTTTGCTGTACAGTAGTCCCTCGCTACTTCGCGGTTCGTTTGTCGCGGATTTGCTATATCGCGATTTTTCAAAGTAAGATTGGACACAATTGGCTGATTGCTGGATGAGGCATGGATTGTTCATTTAAAATAAATTATTTTAAATGGTTTTTGCACCTCTGTGCAGCCCACAAGTGCAGGGGGAAGCTCCCTCCTGCAGTCGGTCATGATCTCCGCTCTCTGTCACTCACACATTTTTCCTGCTGCATCGCCTTTTTAATTCATTCAACCTTTATTTTTACAGGTTAATCCCACTGAACCTACAGCACTTTGGTTGGCCTTGTCGCTGTTTAAGTGCTCTATAAATAAAATGGTATGGTAACCTCAAGGACTCGTTTACAAGAGAGACCTGAATGGTTAACTCTTTGCTGTCCAGATGCAAAAAAATTACTTTTGTCTTCAACTTAAAATTCAAAGTAATCATAAAATCGTCATAATCACAAAATATAAAAGTGTTATTTTTAATTATTTTAGAACTTCTAGGTTCAGTTGTTACAGTGTAATTGATCAAGGAGTATGTTTCTGCTCCGAGCTGCGTGAAGGGTTGAACCTTGGCTGTCCAGCTGCGCTTCTCTTCTCTACAATTGACATTTAAATATTGTAATATTTTAAATAAACGATTCTGTTCATAACTTTTATGGACAACATTTCTCGGTGCAGCCGGGGTGTGGAGGGAGTCCGGTTCGGTGGTCTCAGGATTCATCTCTGCTCTTTGCAGATGATGTGGTCCTGTTGGCGCCATCGTGCCGTGACCTTCAGCTCTCACTGGAGCGGTTCACAGACGGGTGTGAAGCAGCTGAGATGAGAATCAGCACCTCCAGATCTGAGGCCGTGGTCTTCAGTCAGAAAAGGGTGGACTGTTCTCTTCAGGTCGAGGTTCTTCCGCCTCAAGCGGAGGAGTTCAAGTATCTCAGGGTTTTGTTCACGAGTGAGGGAAGAATGGAGCGTGAGATTGACAGATGGATTGGTGCAGCAGCTGCAGAATTGAGGACTCTGTACCGTTGTGGTGAAGGGGGAGCTGAGCTGTAAGGCAAAGCTCTCTGTTTACTGGTCGGTCTACGTTCCTACTAGGACTGGACGATATCTCAGTATTTTTAAAATATTTATATAATTTCATTTGCTATATAAATTGACATTATTTTGGTATGAACAATATAGTTATACTTGAAAATCCAACGACTCGGCTGTCTTCTTTCTTCTCCCACACGGCCCCCCTCCTCTCACTCACTACAAACACAGCCCCTACCTGCACGCTCTCCCCCTGCTTCCTGCTTCTCTCCAGGTGGAGCGGCACGTAGCAGCAACAGAATGGAGAGCAAGTCGCAGAACTGGTGAGCAGGAAAAAAAATGGCTGTTATTTTGAGATGGTTCTGATTCGTCAGATGTGCAACAGAAAAAAACGTTTTCTGCAGACAATGTGATAAGCCACTGTTTTATTAATGTGGCGCTACCTTCTCTCACTGTAAGATTTGAAAATGTGTGTAGTTCTTTTTCTGCCCGTCTGCGCAGCCAACTTCACGCAGCCTCCTCCCTCGCTGAATACAGGCAGCCCCTCACGGCTGCAGTTCACACATGCTTAGGTGAAGACGGTGCAGCTGGGAGGAAACAAAAAGGTCTAAAAACAAACTTGAATATATGTAAATAGTTTACACTCATCTCCAGGCCAGCGGTCACTCTTTCAAGGATGAAGATGTTCACATCCAGGACAGAGAGGAACGATGGTTTGAGAGAGGAGTAAAGGAGGCCATCTTTGTGAAAAGAAATCGTCCATCATTAAACAGGGGTGGAGCCTCCAGGTTCAACTGTCCCCCTCTTACAATGCTGTGATTGCTAGTATCACTCAGCCCTCTGTGAACAGTAAACAGCCATCAGGTGCTAATGATCCATTGTTAGGCTGATGGTCCTTCTTGAGCATGTGATCAGCTGGTTTTGGTTGTCAGCAGCAAACTGGTTGATCCACTCTGAGAAGGTGCTATTTAAGAGACTGAGCTGAATACAGCACCTCAGACTGAGGAAGTCTCTTGGATGAGAGACGAAAAGTTTCTACATTTTTTTTGCTTTGTTTTATTTTTTGTTTTTTTGAATGTCCAGAGGACCAGATTGAACTTTTTTGGATTTTTCTACCTGGATTATTGAGCATGCATCAGGGTAGTTTAATTTTTAGACATTTTGTACAGTTATAGCTGTTAATAAATGTGCCTGTGTGACAAAGCTTTGACTCAGAAATATATTTTTATTATTTTATGGAAAGTAAAAAATATCTCTCTCTATATATATATATATATATATAATAAATTGTGGTTTATCTTAAAATATTGAGATATTCATTTTGGTCCGTATCGCCCAGCCCTAGTTCCATCCCTCACCTATAGTCATGAACTCTGGGTAGTGACCGAAAGAACGAGATGCAGGAGGTTGAGATGAGTTTCCTCTGCAGAGCTGGACTCTCCCTTAGAGACGGGGGAGAAGTTCAGTTATCAGGAGAGACGGAGTAGAACCACTGCTCCTCCACATCCAGAGGAGACAGTTGAGGTGGTTCAGCATCTGTAAGGATGCTCCCTAGGGAGGTGCTTCGGGCACGTCCTTCTGGGAGGAGACCCCGGACACGCTGGAGAGACCGTCTCTCTGTTGGTCTGGGAACACCTTGGAGTCCTCCCAGAACTGGAAGAGGCTGTGGAAAGAGATGTCTGGACCTCCCTGCTCAAGATGTTGTCCCCCGAGACCTGAGTCCAGAACAAGCGGAGGATGATGGAATTTAAATGTTCGAATGGTTTATCAAGGGCACGAGCAGCCTCTGGCTTTGGGATGTGATCCTGTCGTCAGTTAGCATGCTAAGCTACAAACAATCTCCACACGAGGAAGTTAAATCCACCTGCGTTTTAAAAACGCTAAATAAACCGTAACTAACATCATCCCACTTGTAATAAAAAGCACGACCCTATTATGTGCAATTGATCGCTGAGGTTAAAAACAGCTTCGTGCATGTTTGTGTTTTTCTTGCTCATGACACTTCCTGCTCTTCATCTGCGGCTGCGCAACAGATAGCTTCACTCTTTCTTCCACTTCCGCATTCAGTCGCCGTCTGACCTGCTGTCTCCACATCTGTTGACCTCCGTCCATCGAAACTGCCTTTAAAACAGTCACTGGTTCGAAGAGTGTCAGCTGAACACCGGAGCAGAGCCGGGCTGCTGCTGGAACCATGACTGCAACGATGAACTCCGAACTAAGAAGTAGGAGTGACGTCATGTCCGAGTTGAACGTAAAAGATGGACGCCCACAGAAAAGTCCGTGTTGTTCTTGACAATAGCGCCCCCTTCAGATCCGGAGTGCAAAAGTCCCATTTCCAAATATGGTATGAGACTGACCGTCTGTCCCCGCCTCGTTCTCGCTCTTGTGGAGTATAAAATGTTACAAAATAAACATTTGCTCCACTTGAAGAACATGGCAGAAGAGCATGAAAGGAGCAGAAGGTATTTTGTCGTGTTTAGTCTAAAAAACGATTTGATTACGAGCAGTTTGTAGCTCATACTTCAGTAGCACAATTAATTCAACCTTTATTTAAACAGATAAGTCACATTGATCCTCGAAGACTCATTTATAAGTGAGACCTGTTTGGACAGACAATAAAAAGTGGTGAAAAGACAATAGTTCATAGAACTATTAGTACATTATCGTACAGTACTCCCACTGGTACATTTCCATCTTTAAATCACTTCCTGGTCTGCTGCCTTCATACATCTCCTCCTACATGTCTCTGTGTGAGTGCAGCTACAGCGTGCGCTCTCAGGACATCATTACCTGCAGTGTTCCCTCAGTGAGGACTGAACTAGACAAAAGGACCTTCTCCTGCTCCGCTCCTGTTTCCTGGAATATCTTGTAAAAGATCTGAAGCTCTCGACCTTTGACCTCTCTAAGTGGCTTCAAACATCTGTTAAGTTCCTGGAAAAACAAACCCCGATGCAGACATGTTCCTGTTTTTAGTTTCCTAAATCGCCTTATAATCTAGCTGTTGTTTTTTTTTTGTGTGTGGTTTTTTTTTGCTACTATTTCTCTTGATTGTACTTTTGGTTGCTATTTTCTTTTGATTTGTAAGAAAAAAAAATAAAAAAAGAGAAACCTACATTTGTATGCCTGTTTTATGATTGTCTATTGTTGTCCATTGCTGTCATCACTCTTTGTTAAAATCAGGTCTCTCTTGTAAATGAGTCCCCGAGGCTCAATGGAATTAACCTGTCTAAATAAAGGTTGAATGAATTGTGATGAAACGTTGCATATTACTTTAACACACCAAACTTAGAATGCTGATGAGCATTGAGCATTATAGGCGAGAGAGCAGATCGTCCTGAAGACTGGAGCTCAGTGGGAGGAGATGCTGAACATGAATCACTCCACTTTTGTGCATCATTTCAGTCTCCCCAAGACACAGTTCACGTACCTACTGATGCCACTGCAGGAGAAAGGCCTAAATGAGGAACACTGTCAGGGTCTGGCACTGGTCCCAGCGAAACTAAAGGTCCTGATGTTCCTGTGGTACCTGGCCAAACAGAACAGCTTCAGGGAGATGTCCGAAAAGTTTGACGTGTCGCAATCATCAGCACACAGGATCATCTTCGAGGTTCTCAACACTATCTGCACAATGGGACCAACCTTCTTCTCCTGGCCCAACTCAAGTGACAAGGCTTGTTCTGCCTTTCAGCTCCTCTGTGGCCTCAGTGGTGCAAGTGATGCGCGTCACATTTGGATGCAGAGGCCACCCATACAAGGAGACTACCTGAACCACAAGTTCTTCTACTCCATCCTGCTCCAAGCAATTGTAGACGAGAGGGCGTGTCATAGACATTTTCCCTGGACCTCCAGGACATGTCTACGTGGCGAGGATGCGGAGAGCCCAGCTTCTGAACAGCATGGCAGGAGAAGATGGGCCAGTACAGGATGCTGGGAGACGGTGCCTACACCGGACAGGCCTTCCCGTTTCTCATCACTCCTGTGACGATGGGGCTCTGACTGAAGCAGACCAGGAGCAGAACTCTCAGATCCGCAGAGGGAGGGAGGTTGTGTAGACGGCCTTTGGACAGTTGAAGTGCAAGTGGAGACGTCTTCACAGTCTGCAGAACTCCAGGATGGATGTTGCGGTGATGATCGTCATGGCAGCATGCTTCCTGTATAATTTGTGCATCGGGCGGACAGAGACGCCAGGAACACCAACATGGCGGCCCCGAGCAGGCAGACGAGAACAAATGGAAGAGGCTGGGGTTCTCAGAATTTGAATGTACTCTTCTCCCGGCCGTTGCAATAAACCTTTTGATGGTAAAAACAAATTGTATAACAGCAGCAGAGTTTGCTCATTCAATTTTATTTAAACTGTTTAAAATGAAACAAGCATCGTCACCACTTAACGGCCTGGAGGGTTACAGCTCCTGCTTTTCCTGTTTATTTAAAACTGTCATTAAAATTTATAAACTGGTCAAATATATTCAGATCAATTCAATTTCAATTCAGTTTATTTCTAAAGCTCCAAGTCACAACAGAAGTCGTCTCAGGGACTGAACAGAAACATTCATGTATAAAATAATAATTGATCAGAAACATTCATCTATAAAATAATAATTGATCAGAAACATTCATCTATAAAATAATAATTGAACATTATTTATCTGAGGAGCAGCTTTGAGTTTAACTCCATCACAGAACTCTCATCTTGAACAAGCATGAAGGCGACAGTGGAAAGAAAAACTCCCTCATGAGGAAGAAACCTTTAGCAGAACCAGGATCAGGACAAGAGGACCATCTGCTTTGACCGGCTGGGTTTGAGAGGAATAGATACACAATGGCAGGTCAAGAATCACGTTAAGATAGAAATAGTATCAAATGAAAACTATTCAGTTTTAACAATTCATTGAAGGAAATGAGGTCAATTTGTCCTCTAGTAGTCTAAGTCTATAGCAGCATAACAAGCCGACCCTAACTATAGGATTTATCAAAAAGGAAAGTCTTAATCCCAGTCTTCAAACTGGACAATGTGTCAGCCTCATGGACAGAAACTGGAAGTTGGTTCCACAAGAGAGGAGCCTGAGAACTGAAAGATCTTCCTCCCATTCTGCCGCTGGAAACTCTAGGAACCACGAGTAAACCTGCAGTCTGAGAGCGAAGTGCTCCGTTAGGAAAATATGGAACAATAAGATCTGTAATATAAGATGGAGCTAGGTTGTTCAGGGCTTTGTAGGTTAGAAGTAGGATTTTGAATTCAATTCTGGACTTGACAGGGAGCCAATGGAGAGAAGCTAAAACTGGAGAGATATGATCTC